GGGGGGGCTCGGGGTGTAAATGTGCTGCCGTCCCCGGGCGGGGAGGTGGAGGCCGCCTAACAGCTCACCCTCTCTTTCAGACTCCCAAGAATCAGATCAAACAGAAAAAAATGGCTCCTCCCCCCAAAAAGGTCGAGGAAAGTGAGGAAGAAGAGTCCTCTGAGTTAGAGGAAAGCAGCGGAGAAGAGGTGACCACGTTAGAAATGAAGTTGAAAGATTGTGTGTGTTATAAAAGTGTGAGGGCTGGGGGACAGGTAGTATGTGACAGAGAATGACTGTTAATAAACGGTTGGTGTCTGTCAGTTAGCTGTGGCTGAAGAATAAATTGGATTTCATAAGAGGAAAGCGATGTGGGTAAAACTCTCTCTTAGCTGCTAGGTCTGTACTTCCAGGCTTTGGGAGCACTGCGAGGATCTTAAATCTGTTCCTAGTACTGATGAACAAGTGGATCATTAGTTACTCTAGTAGAGCATCAACAATAAGTGATTTATCACACACAAATAATATGCAAGACTAAAAATTGCAAGCTACTGAATGCACCTAGAGAGGCAAGTGGTCTTGCTTCAGGACTGGAGAATTTAGGGATACTTTAATGTTCCATAAATAGTCTGTTAAAAGCATGAAAAAGCTGGTTTGATTCAACAGAAAGGGCAGTTAAGTCATTCAGCAGAAACTTAGTCTGTCAGAAGGATATGCTTTAGGTTGCAGCTGCTCTGTATTTGTCTGACGTTGAAGTAATAGTAATTTAAAGAGTCAGCATAAGAGTCTTACACTAATGTGTGTTTCAGATGGTCCCTCAGAAGAAACAACAAAAAGTAGCAGTGACACCAGCCAAGAAGGCAGCTACCCCTGCAAAGAAGGCTGCCACTCCTGCAAAAAAGGCAGTGACCCCTGCCAAGAAGGCTGTGGCTACTCCGGCTAAAAAGGCTGTTGCTCCGTCACCTAAAAAGGCTGCTGTCCTAACCAAAGGAGCAAAAAATGGCAAGAATGCCAAGAAGGAAGAGAGCGAGGAGGAAGATGAAGATGACGAGGAAGACGATGATGATGATGACGAGGATGAGGAGGAAGAGGAAGATGATTCTGGTAAGTTACTTTTGATGCTTATCCTTGTATGAGTTGATGTAAGCTGATTGAAAGTTTAGTATGATTTAATACTCAGGAGGGGGATTGATTGATGAAAAGGTGGGGAATCAGTGAAGTTTGTAGGAGAACTTGGGCTGCAGCTACATTACATGCAGCATGTAGAGCATCTTCTAGTTTTCTGATTCTTCTTTCATGAAGTTTGCCAAAATCTTGGGGGGTGAGGGGAGGGTACTAGGAAAGTTTGAAGGTGAGTGGTATTGGTAAACACTTGCTGTCCTGTTGTTGCAGATGAGGAAGAGGAACCAGCAATGCCTGTGAAGCCTGCAGCCAAAAAGCCTGCAGCAGTACCAGCCAAAAAGCCTGCAGTTGTGCCAGCAAAGCAAGAATCTGAAGAAGAGGAGGATGATGATGATGATGAGGAAGATGATGGTATGTGGGATTTAGGAAAACTGACTCTTAAAAAAATAAACTTTAGAAGATGCTAAACTAAGAAATGCTTATAGGGAGGTGGGAGGGGGAGTAACTTAATAAATTAGCGGGAGCTATGCAGAGTGTCTGTGTCTCCATTTAGTGCCCAGCTGATTTTAGCTGGCTACTAGTGTCCATCAGATCTGGCTGAATGGGTGTTTATTTCCCTGTTGCTCGTAAAACTTTTTTACTCTGGGGAACAGGTATTGGGTTTTTTAATGCAGAAAAACTTGAGGGAGAGGCAGCTTTTTATAAAGACTCAGCTCTTTGCTGGGAACAGGCAAGCTTAAGGAGGCATGAAAAACACTTCTACTTGACAAGATTTTATTTTCTTAGTCTCAGAAGGGGCTTAATTTTGAAGGTATCTGAAATCTTGTGCTCAACTTGTTTCAGAGTCTGAAGATGAAGCCATGGACACAACCCCTGTTCAGGTGAAGAAAGCTACTCCAGCAAAGGCCGCACCAGTGAAGGCCAAGGCAGACTCTGAAGATGAGGAAGATGAAGAGGAGGATGACGAAGATGACGATGATGAGGAGGAGGATGAAGAGGATGCTGAGGAGGAAAGTGAAGATGAAAGTGAGTTTAAATGGTTTTGAGATCATAACTCTAACAGGAAAGATGCTTTTGTCCTATTGTGGCCTTTTGGGCTGATGAGCAGTTGCTGTAGTGACAAGAGAAGGTCTTGTGTATGACTGGTGTAAAGATCAACATTCCTGTGTTGATCCAGTATAGGAAAAGTTGGTTTGTACTTCTGATTCAGTAGTGTTGTTTGTCCTCTATTGCAGAACCTGTCAAGGAAGCACCTGGAAAGAGGAAGAAAGAAATGGCCAATAAAAGTGCACCGGAGGCCAAGAAAAAGAAAACAGATGGTAGGTGGTGTGGGGTCGTCAAACGACTGTTACAGGACTGTTGGGTGAGACATGTAACTGTGAAGGGACAGGATGCTGAGTGGGGTTTTTTTCTAGCACAAATGATGACTTGGGACTTAATACTGAAGTGTGATGTCACTTTTGAGCAGAAACTGATGTGCTAAAGCTCTCTGCAATCTGGCTTCCAGTTCTTTTTTTTTAAAAAAAACACAACTTGATTTTGTTTCTATTTAAAGGGCCCACTTCAGCTTTCTCCCTCTTTGTGGGAAATTTGGCCTCCACCAAGGAGTTTGAAGAACTGAAGACTGGCATCAGAGAATTCTTCGGGAAGAAGAATATTGAAGCTTTGGATGTCAGAATTGGTGCTTCCAAGTGAGTTCATCAGTAGAATTTTGCTGCAGATTTCTTTTAATTGGCAGTAATTTGTTCAGAAAAGTGTAACTGCTGATGCTGGTTCCCTTCAAGATGGTGGGATGGTTGCTTGATATAGTGTATGGGAGCTGGAAGAGGCAGGGCACTGGTAAAGATGTCATCTCCCTAAGGAGAGAGCTGCCACTTCAGTGCAGAGCTGTTGTTCTCTACTGTTGTTTTGGTTATGTGGGCCAGTTAGCATTTATTTTATTTTATTAACACTCTTAACTTGAGCAGTGGGGACCTCTCTGGTTCAGAGTTCCTCTTTGTGTTCTCCGCTACTAGAGGTGGATCAGCTTAAATACTAAGGTTACTCTTCTTTCAGGCGATTCGGCTACGTAGATTTTTCATCAGCTGAAGATCTGGATAAAGCTCTCCAACTGAATGGGAAGAAGTTAATGGGAATGGAAATCAAACTGGAAAAAGCAAAGAGCAAAGAAACAATAAAAGAAAATAAGAAAGGTATGGCCCGTAACTGTGAATACTTGAGCACATGAGAGTTGTTGTAATCAGGCATTGGAGCAGGTTTGCAGTATTACTGATGGCTGCTGTTCTGACCTTTTAAGACAGATCTTCTTGGTTTGGTCTTTATATCATAAACAGTTTCTCAAATGCTAACATATGGATGGGCAAATTCAAACTAGTATATGTGGAAATAAGAGCCCAAGAAATAGTGAATATTGAAGGATCTGAGAAGGAAACGGAGAGTCTTTCTGAAGCTTTTGGACCTGTTTTCTGAACTTGGTGCCCTTAAGAGAAGTATAATGGCAGCCTGATTAATTGTCCTAATAGTTGCTTTTTCAGCTTCTAAACATGTGAATGCTTATTGTGGTTTATTTTCTGTTCGATCAACTCACTCTGGTTCTCACTGAACTGGTAGTGTAGATGAGAAGATATTTTTAGCTGGTGATGTGAAGGTAACTCTTTTTCTCTCTGTGTAGAGAGAGATGCTAGAACGCTTTTTGTGAAGAATCTGCCCTACCGCTTAACTGAAGATGAAATGAGAGAAGTGTTTGAAAATGCACTAGAAATCCGAATAGTGATGAACAAAGATGGGAACAGCAAAGGGTATGTAGCTGAGAGGACTGTTAGATGTTTGTTCTTCCTCAGACTCTTGGCATAGTCTGATAAGTTCATGTCCTTAAGCTACCTTAAGGGACCTGCTGCATTAGATGTACTAAAAATGCTAATTTTTGAAGTGTTTTTCTTCCATATCCTTTTTTCCCCACTCATGACCTTGGTTGTTCCTGGAAAGAGACATTTGCTTATGTTCTTTTCTGTGCTCTAGGATGGCCTATGTTGAGTTCAAAACAGAAGCTGAGGCAAACAAAGCTCTGGAAGAGAAGCGAGGCACAGAGATTGATGGTCGTGCCATGGTCATTGACTTCACTGGTGAGAAGAGCCATCAAGAGCATCAGAAAGGTACTTTCTGGACCAATTATGCACATGCAAATGATAGTTAGGATTTAATTCCACTTATTTCAGAAGTTTGATGGAGATAGAGCAACTTGAAGCACTGCAGGAAAACTGTTAAGATATTGGGAAGAGACCTTTTGTGTAGCTTTGCTCTGCATTCTATGAGACTTTTCATGTCTCTACTCTGTTTCGGACAAGGGTTGATGACTAGTCTAGGTGACGGAAACAGTGCCTCACTTTGAGGTGGGGAGGGAGCAACAACTACTCTCAGCCTAGAGGAAGAGAGAGCTCTCCTTCTACAAACTTGCACTTACAGCACTGAGTTTTCCCCATAGGAGGTGGAGAGAGGGAGTCAAAGACCCTCATTGTCAACAACCTCTCGTATGCTGCGTCAGAAGAGACTCTCCAAGAACTATTTAAGAAAGCTTCTTCCATCAAGATGCCACAGAACAACCAGGGCAGACCTAAAGGGTATGTTATGCCTTTCTCCTGACTTCTGAGTTGACATTGTGAATGGCTTGCCTCTACAGATCACAGAATGTCAGGGATTGGAAGGGACCTCGAGAGATCATCCAGTCCAATCCCCCTGCCGGAGCAGGAACCTAAATGAGATCACACAGGAAGGCGTCCAGGCGGGTTTTGAATGTCTCCAGAGAAGGAGACTCCACAACCTCCCTGGGCAGCCTGTTCCAGGGCTCTGTCACCCTCACTGTAAAGAAGTTCCTTCTCAAGTTTAAGCAGAACCTCCTGTGTTCCAGCTCACACCCATTGCCCCTTGTCCTATCATTGGGCATCACTGAGAAGAGCCTGGCTCCATCCTCCTGACATTCGCCCTTAACATATTTATAAACATTAATGAGGTCACCCCTCAGTCTCCTCTTCTCCAAGCTAAAGAGACCCAGCTCCCTCAGCCTTTCCTCATAAGGGAGATGCTCCACTCCCTTCATCATCTTAGTGGCTCTGCGCTGGACTCTCTCAAGCAGTTAAGAGTGCTTAACTTGTGCTCCCAGGCTGACTGAAATCTTCCTCTCCTAATAGGTATGCATTTGTAGAATTTTCCACCACTGAGGATGCCAAAGAAGCGTTGAATTCCTGTAACAACACAGAGATTGAAGGCAGAGCAATCAGACTGGAATTCAGTTCACCAGCATGGCAGAAAGGGAACACAAATGCAAGAGGAGGATTTAATCGTACGTATTCCATGTTTGATCACTTGATCTTGGGACAGCTCTGGCAGGACTGGACCATTCATACAAACATAGGGGTACTTTTTAAAAAAAAACCCAAAAAAACATGCCTGTGGAGTGTCATAAGCAGGTGTGCTGGATATGATGACTGATTATCTGAAATTCTGATGCAACTATTGCCGAAGTCCTCTAGATAGTCAAGTGCTGATCCAGCAGTGTCTGTCCAGTTCGTATCCCTGCTGATAAGATGCAAGCATCTCTTTAAAAAAAAAAAAAAATGATAGTACCAGGTTGGCTGATGGAGATACTTTGACATCAGAAGTTTCCAAGGACTTAATGGTTAAGTGCCTGAGCTGTTCCTTCCATACAAACCCCTTAGCCCTGTGAGCTGCTCTTGGAGGTAGTGCCAGCTGGATGTGATGTCAAGAAACTGATGGTTCCTCAGACATAGTGATCTCTGAATGTATTTTCTTTCCATAGAACAAAGCAAAACGTTATTTGTCAGAGGCCTTTCTGAGGACACCACAGAAGAGACGCTAAGAGAATCATTTGAAGGCTCTGTAAGTGCTAGAATAGTCACAGACAGAGACACTGGATCATCTAAAGGGTATGTCAAACATGACCTGGGATTAATTCAGTTGCTACGAAAAGCCTCTTCTTAACTGATCTGTGCAGTGCAGAGTGTTTAACGCTCGTGTGGGTGGTGCTTTGAAGCTAGTAAATTGCATGGAACCAGAGAAGAAGCTTACAGTTTTGGGTCTGTTGGTAGAGGGTGTCGTGCTCACTTCTCAATGAGCTCCTTCCTGCCAACAAATCCGTGGCAGCCTATGGATTCGCACGAGAAGAATATTAACTGCTCAGTACTGGCACTCTCACAATGGGTCTCCATCGATTGTGATGAGCCACTGCTGTTCTACAAATAACATGGTCCTGATCCCTGGGCTCCCTGTGCGGTTGGCAGGTGTTGTTTCCAAAGGGAAATTTCCTATCGAGTTACCTGCAGGTGGTGCTACAGCTCGTGGAGTTCTAACTGACTTTTTTGTCTTAACCCATTTCCTAGGTTTGGGTTTGTGGACTTCAGCTCCCCAGAAGATGCCAAAGCAGCTAAAGAAGCCATGGAAGATGGAGAGATAGATGGAAACAAAGTGATCCTTGACTTTGCTAAGCCAAAGGGTGAATTTCAACGTGGCGGTGGATTTGGTGGTCGTGGTGGCAGAGGAGGAGGCCGAGGAGGAAGAGGTGGATTTGGTGGCAGAGGTGGTGGCAGAGGAGGATTTGGAGGTAAGAAGAGACAAATGATGCTGTTCTAAGGGGGTGTGCTCAAAAATTAAGCCAAAGACATTCTTGGGATTATGGTGTGGTGCTGCCACAGAGCACCTGGTGTGAATCAGGATGGGTTTGGAAGGGCAGTGGTATCTGCAGGGATACCTGTAACTCTGAGTCTTGACCTCATTTTCTTTCCAGGTAGAGGAGGTGGCTTCCGAGGAGGCAGAGGAGGAGGTGGAGATCACAAGCCACAAGGGAAGAAGATAAAATTTGAATAAACTTCCCTTTTCCTTTCCCTTCTCCTGCTCTCTGAGACTATCTGAAAGGACTCCGGGGGTTTTTATTCTCCTTTTATCTCGGCGGAGCCTTTGGAGGACATTCCAAGATGCAAAGCAGTACTGTGAGCCACTTGGAAGATAACAGTTTTCATTTCAAGGAAGAGAGAGCAAGCCATTTTGACTGCTTGCTTATTCAAACGAACTTTTTAAAAATTGAGCGCTAGATGTGGGAATTTACCCCTTGTCTGTGAGTTGTCTTGAATTTATAATGTTTTACCCATGTACAAATTTTTTTTTTTCCTATAAACTTCTGTAGCATTTTTGCTGTAAAAATGCAGAATGTTTTATCATTTGTGCTTCAGCACCCTGTCTTGGACAGATTAAAGGACCTAAACTGGTTCGCGTTACTTCTGTGCCACTAAATTGGAGCAGGGCTGTGAGAAAGTCTTGTCTTAAGCCTTCTTCTCTCTTAAGGTCATTACCATCACCGGCAGCAGCTGGTGTCCTGCTTTGCTCTAGCCTGTGTCAGCTCCTGATGTGTGTGTGCTGTGCTTAGGGTGCTTGCAGGAAGAAAAGGGAGAGGAATGCAGTGGCTGAGGTTCA